CATATTACAGGGTACAAATGTTTAGGTTACATATATTGCCTTTGCCCCACCCGAGTCAAAGCTTCAAGCTGTCCATCCCCCAGTGCTCACTGCACCCATTAGGTGCGGATATACTCATCCCCTCCTCCCAGGATTTAAAGATTGTCCAAATAGGAATGTGGCAGATGGTCAAGGGGATGACATTGCAGGGTGCAAATCAGAACATAATGACATATTGGATCATACATTTGTGGTTTGGCAGAAAGACAAGTGAGGCCACAAGGATTTTACAGACTTAAATAAACAAGCAGAATCCACAGTCTGAAAATTGAGACTAGGGCCATTCTAGGATTCAAAGAAGAAGTCAGGGAAGATGTAGAAGAAATAAACCTTCATTAGAGAGCATAAAGAGATCATACTGCTGGAATATTATAAGATATATTAGTTCATTTTGGTTTTAATTTTTTAGTTACATGTCAAGATAATAAGAAAACTATAACAGAAGATAAGTTCCTGCTGAGTGTAGTTCAAATCATTATTTATCAAGTACCTATTATGTAAAGGGAGCTTTGCAGGAAAGCAAAACACCATTGTTTGATGCATGAACTCTGATAATGGTTAAATTATGATTGGATCTCATTGCTGTTGCAGGACTAGAAAAAAAATAAAAAACAATATGAAGCCATGCCTATTTATCAGTCTGGTGGAAATTGAGGCTCTATTGTCTAGCTTTCTCTTCAGACAATTTTAAAAAAAATAACAAAAATGTTTGGTCTAATTAGAGATCCACATCTGAGAATTTCAAACATTTCTGCCATTCTGATAGATTTGGAAATATGATTTTAATGGTCTGTATACTGGGCTTTGAATGAGGTAAAATATATCTTTCTACCTGCATGATAAAGCAAGGAAATCAATGACAGCGTATATAGGTGTCTAATAATTTGAGTTTAAAACAATATAATTTTAATATTAAGATGCAAGATAATTTTGGAATATAAAACAGGATTTCTTTTTTCCTCAGGGAATATTTTTAAATCATGTCTTATTTTAATTTAAATTATATCACAGTTTACGACAGTAGCACAGAAATTAGAGTCCACTCAACAAGATCTTTGAAAATATTGAACAAAAAAATAATAGGACACATACTACTAGTTCAAGAAAATTGTATGTGAACTCTAGAAGCAGTATGTAACTTGTATTCTACTATCATATTCTCTAGCCTTCTGTTCCTTAAAGAAATCCAGACGTTGGCAGTATAAATGTCTATCGAACAATATATTTTACTATAAATATTTTTGTGAAAGATGCCTGCAATATTATCAATTATAAAAAAATTTGGAATTCTTACAGTTACAAACACGGAACTAGTTTTTATTATTACTGTTGCCTTCCCAAGGCATTTAAATTTCAATTCTTTCACAATCATAACATGAAATTTTTAGAGTGTCGACATGAATCAGATACATACGTATATACGCATGGCAATCTCCCTGTTTCCTCTTATATGTACCTATGTCTTTTTTGAACACTAAAGGGGATCATATAACAAAATAAATCATGCACTATTATTTATGTTGAAAGATTAAAACAGATTCAAAGTTATGTCTGCATTAAACTGAGAGTATGCTTGCTGGAAATATCAGGAATATATTGATTATAACCAGCAAGACATTAATTTAGAAGGTTTACCAAAGTTTTTGGGACATTTTAAGGGACCTTTTTGGTCATCTGGATCCTTATTTGACATGTAGACACTGTGTTTCAAGGATTCTTCATATGACGTATTTTTCTAACTGTTTTATCATCCCGATTAAGTCATGTAAGCACACCCCATTGGGTTAAACTACCACTTTTAAAGTGGTAAACCCAAAATTATGCACAATACTTCAGTCAGTCTTCTGCATTAAAATTTCCTATCTTTACTGAATTCTTTGAGACTGTTTTAACTACTTAGGTAGCTCTACAGCCATATGTGCATATATATGTGTGTTTGTGTATGTGTACATATATATATACACACGTATATTAAAATAATAACTGCTATTCAAGATCTTTCCCATCTGATACTTTTGAAAGTTTACCATCTAGTATGCATCTTCTTTTCACGTCTTATTGTTAATTTAATTTCTTTGTTCTACCTATTCAAAACCTTCTTGAATCCTAATCCAATATATGAGCATATATTAGCTTGGCTTCCAAGTGTTCTGTAACGTTTGTCTTCATCCAGGCTATTGAGAGTTAGAATTAAGAACTGAGCTTGGGTGAACATTATTAGAGGTGGACATTAATATTATTATTATAATTATCATTTATCATAGAGAACATCAGCATAGCAGATACTCCATCCTGCTATGCTTTTGCTTTGTTCAGCTCGTATTATTTTTTTCTTATTCACTTGAGTGTCATTCATAACTTTCTATAATATCTTGTTTATTTTTTAATCATTACATTTCATATTTAGAAATTTGTTATTGCTATTGCTGTTATTGCTCTAATTTTGCAGTTTCAGTAAGACATATTTTGTTGTTTTGGTATGTACACACACATACATATTTTTATATATATTTTTTTCTTATTCTTTTGATATTTTTCCTCAATGTTCAAAGTTTACTTGCTCCAGTTCAGTGAGCCCTCTGCCAAGTATATTTTTTGCAGTTCCAGTGAGGTATAGAATATCCCTTGTCAAGACCTCATTATTCTGTTGTGCTAGGCTTTTCTAGGTGGGAAGTTTTTTGATTCCTGCATCCTTTTTTCTTTTCAAAAGTCAAACTTTCAACTGAAAAAAAAAAAAAAATTATGTCTCCATGTCTTAGAGCTTCTATTTCCCAGAACTTAAAATTCTCTGGAAAGATATTCTGGCATTCTTCTTGTTTCTGATGGTATTTCCAATTAATCTTCCTGCAAGAGAGCATGCATCAGGATTAATAACATAAAGTGTACAATAGACCAGAGTCATAAAAGTCACTCCCTATCTACACTACATTCTGCATTTTCATTTTACATGTTATTATTCGTATTTCCTGAGTCAGGGACCAGTGACTTACATTGGTTCTTCAGAGGACCAATTGTGAGATTCTGAAGCATGTCTATGCCCATAAATACTTAGTTCATACATTCTCCTTAGAATAAGGAAATGTTCAATAGAGGAAAGTTTATATTAATTATCATGTCACATCCAACAACTGATAGACTGGCTTCCTCAAAGGTCAGGTTTTCTGGGAGAGTACCCATGACTGTTACATTAATACATAATACACACAATGCAATTTCTCCTATTCATCTTTCTCTATTCTATAACCTGGTTAGGAATAGAGGGCAGATGCATATTTTTTTTAAAATTCTTCTTTCATTGGATAAGAAAATATTTTTCAGTTCCTCTTTAGATTACTTATTTCTCTCTATAACATATCTTCAACAACTCGATCATATATATGTATGTATATTTTCCTGTGTTTTATTATCTGTATTACATTGGATATTTGAAAAAAAATAATTCGTTTTCTATTGTATTAATTTAGCAATGAACAATCAAGAAAATACCATTGTAAAGTATCAGGTTGTGACTATCATACCTATTTGTAACAAAATTCCAATATTCAGAATAAAAGGAATTGATTTGAGAAAAAGAGACCTAATTGTAATTATCTCATGATCCATTTACTTTTTAGTGTAAGGTAATTAACTCATAGGTGTAGTTGCAGGTTAAGTCCCCTGGGAAGCTGACTCCGAATTGGAGTTTGGAGTGCAGCATAATAGAGAGCGTGACCTTGGGATCTACATCTGCAGAACACAATAGAAGGAAGAAGGATTGAGTCGGGCAGAGTGAGAAATGGAGCTGCCGTGCAGTTTTAATGCCTCTTAATGGCTGACCCCATGGGGAAGCTCTGGAGCTAAACTTGCCCTTGAGGATTATCAGCAATATGGGGGGAAGGGGTGGCTCAACCTTTGTAACCTCGAAGCAGTGCGTCATTAATTCTATGCTATTCTGGAAGAGTGTGACCTTGGGCCAGGTGGCACTCCACAGCTAGGGCAACAATCATTCCATGAAGGGAATGCAGCAGCACATCCGAGTATGTACCACAGGGGCTTTTAGCCAACAGACATTCTGGAATGAGGAATAACAATACTCAGATAAACGTATGCTGTGTGCACTGAGGAACATCAATACCAATTGGAGTGTGACCTTGTGGTTTTGAGTAGGATTCTAGGATGTGTCCAGATTGTGTCCTAATAATTTACTAGCTTTGTGATTTTTGTGCAACTTACATGCTAGGATTCAGGTTATTCATTTTTAAGGTATTACTTATAGTAAAAATTATTTTCTGCTGTAAAATAAGGAATTTAACATCCTCTCCTTTATAAAGGTTGTATGGATTGATCTAACTATATCATGCAGGCATTTACTATAGTACATGGCATTTAAAATACACATAAAAAAGATGATTAAGTATGCTATTCATCATTAACTTCCTTATGGTCTAACAAAAGTGCTTCAAATCACAGCTAAGCCTGAAAAAGCTTATAAGTTGATCTGGTGTCTCCATAAAAACATTCTCTAAATTAGTGATTCTTAAATTTCTTAATGCATTGACATTACCTGAATAGTTTTCTAAAAATGCAGATATCTGTTCCTATCACTTATATTCAGAGTCACCAGGTTTGGGGAAAGTCCCAACTAGCTCACCTCAATGCTTAGGACCCATTGGCTTCCAGCCATCTGTATCCTTTAAAATCTTTTAGCTATTATGCCCATGTCCAAAATGTTTATTGCTTCCTCCATTCTTTGTCTTACACTATTTTCCCACCCCTTAAATTTGGCTTTATTAATTTTTAAAATAGTTTTCTCAATTTGAGAACCGATATGCTTCTTTCTATAATGGCCCCTTCGTGTTCCCTTGTGCATTCCATAAACTGAAAAAGAAAATCACACATCCCCATTTTACCCATTAAAGGAAATGTGAATCTTTAATGGCGGCTTTACTAAGTATATTTTGTTTTGCTTGTGTCTATCATAGATAACACAGCCAGCATTCTGACAAGGCGGAGGAGATTTAGTCGAACTGTTCAGGATGTGTATTATCTGCCCATTATGATCTCTGATGGTGGAATCCCCTCTCTCAGCAGCAGCAGCACCCTCACCATCAGGGTTTGTGCATGCGAGAGAGATGGGCGTGTGCGGACCTGCCATGCAGAAGCGTTCCTGTCCTCGGCTGGTTTGAGTACAGGAGCCTTAATCGCTATTCTTCTCTGTGTTGTCATTCTCCTGGGTAAGTCATTCTAAACCCTAAGTGTGTGTGATGGTAATTCTGAATAAGGAAAAATAGTTTTTACAAAATTTAAGGATGAGGAATGCATAATGTGGGTAACAAAACATGGCTGCACAGATTCCCTTTTAATTCATTTTCTCAATACTATATTTAATTAAGAAATAATTTGACTCAAATATGATGAAAGAGTTGGAATATTAGGAAGGATAAGTTCTGAGAGGAATAGCTTTTGAAAATATATATTTTAGAAGGAATCAATATTAAAATATTCTGAATCCCATCTTGAAAGGGCTTTTAAAATTTACTTCCAAGAACATAGGTGGCATCTTTCTAGAATAAATCTTGCCAGTTTTCAAGATCAGACAAGATCAGCTGTTCGTGTTGGTATGGCCATAGGATGAATAAGTACAGAGATGTAATGTAGAGCATGAGGACTGTAGTTAACAAAAATATTGTATTGCATGCTGGAAATTTGCCAAGAGGGTAGATTTTAGGTACTCTTTCCCCACACACATAGAAAGGAAGTAACTATGTAAGATGATGGACATTTTAATATGCTTGACTGTAGTAACCATTTCACTATGTATTAATATATCAAAACATCATGTTGTATACCTTAAATATATACAGTTACAAATAAATTATTCTGTAAGTATATAAATAATAAAATAAAATGAATCTGAAAACCAAATAAAAATAGATGTATTGTGGAAACTTCTACTTGTCCAAAATACTTAATCATCAATGTTAGCTGAGTTTTAACACACTTCTGACTCTAAATGACTTTGGGCCTTAGAAATATTAAATTTTATTAAATTAAATTATATGCACTTAAAAGCAATAGATTTCGTCATTTGAGATTTGCATTACAGTTTATTTTATAAAAAAAACACTTTCTCTAAATCTTACTACACCTGCATTTAAAGATAATATAACTATAAACTCTTTAGATTGCTATTTGAGCAAGATAGCAAATCCAGATTTTTATAAAAACAAAGATAGATGTAAGGGATCTTTATGCTTTATAGGTTAAAGTGGGTACACATCAATTTTTCTAGTGTGTCCTTGCCACTCTTCCTTTCTCTTAGCAGTCTGCCTTTTACTTCTTTCTTGGTACTGTGTATACGTGAGTAAAGAATTGTGTGCTTTGCTGAGACAGAAATCTTCTTGCAGAAAACATTCCTTGTTTCGTTCCTGGGGTGGAAGATTGATTACTTGTATAGGTGGAGTGGAGAGTACGGTGGAATGAGGCTGGAAAAGAGAAGGGATCTGTATGGAGGGCAGAGATAGTACTAGGCTTTGTGGAGCATTGCAAAGCTGGTGGCCTTTGAGTGTAAGGAAAGTTTTAAAGCAAGGGAGCACCATTATAAACTTTGTAATTTGAAAAAAAAAGATGACTATGAATGAAATGGAGAGCAGATCTCCTGGTGGCAACAGAGAATATAGACAAACCAATCAGGAAGACTCTGCCCTTGTCTCCCTCAGACATAGCATGTTTTGGATTAGCACATATATAGTGGAGCTGAAGAAAAGTGAATAATATCAAAATACTTCAGGTGAAATCAAAAGTGATCATTGACAACTTAGATATCTGGGAGAGTTAGAATATCAAAGACGACTCTTCATCTCTGTTTGAATGTGGACCCTGATCTTCCCTAAGCTAGGGCACATTGGAAATGTACTTTGTTGAAGACAATGGACTAGGATTCAACTGTGAGAAACTCCAATGTGATTACTAAGTCAAGAAGGATGAGACAGTAGAGGACAGCCAAGAAGTCAAAAAAGTAAGAAAATTAGTAAAGTATGTTACGAAGTTCAAGGGGAAAAAAGTATCGAAAAGGACAGAGCACTATGTTGTGTAGTAGATCTAGTCAACGATGTTAAAAGCTGCTCAGAGGTTAACTAAATTGAGAACCAAAAACTATTAATGGCACTTAGCAACACAGAACATGGAAGTTTGGTGCACCATAGCAAGAACTGTTTCATTGAATAAAAGTCCTTTCTAGTAGATGCCTGGTGGAGGAGGAAGTCAGGAAAATCAGGCTTTCAAAATTTTATTTATTTATATATTTGTTGGTCACAAATGCTATTTTCCTTAGAAATTAACATATTTCTTTTTTGTCTCTGAAAATTAATTTTAAAAAAAGACCACAACCACACCAGAAAAAGAAAATACCACCACACAACAACAAAAACTCTGGATCCTTTTAGGGTTCCTAAATGAAGTCATAGAGAATAGAACTCAGTGATTTTAACATAAGCTCTTCCAGAATTTTTACTCTGAAAAAGAGTTCAGTTGGATGAGGCATGTTATCTTCAGATTTTTTATTCATTTATCATCATAAATCCATTTTCATATGCCAAGGTAAAAATTTAACATGCAATTAAATTGTTAATGTCCAAGTACATTTTTGAGGTATATGATATAAAAGAAATTTAATTATTTCATGAAAATGATACTTTATTTTAATTAGTTTTTATGAAAATGCTGCTTCTCCTTTGGGGTAAGTAACAGAACGTTTGTAAACATTTTGGTATCCCTTAGGATTAATAAAAACAAATTTGCTCTTTGATATATTTTCTTTACTCTTTCTTTTCTTTATTGAAAATCAAAGATGTTTTTACAATATTATCCCTAGGTTATAGAATCATTTCTTGAGCTTGAGCTTAAACACACATTCACTGTCATAGAATTTATACTTTTGATGTCATTGTATTAGGTTACTAAGTATGAAATGTCCCATTTCCTTAAGTACTAAGTTTGACAGTTGATATTGCTGACATTACACTTTGTACTTTGACACTCCTTGTTGTGAAGGTACATACTCAGTCTCTTTGAAACACACCTTCTGGCTTGTGATTATCATTCAATTTTTTTTTTAGAGAGATTTTTGAGAAATCATGGATAAGTCAAAAATTTGTGTTGTTTTTGAATACAAGTTCCATCATGGAACCAGTGCAGTGAACACAGCTTGGAATACCAACGAAGTGTTTTGGAAGGATGTGGCTGATGAGCGCACAGTACATTGATGGTTTGAGAAGTTCCATTTTGATGATTTTAATCTTGAAAGTGAGCCCTGTGAGCAACCTGAGACCAAGGCGGATAATGATGAGCTGAAAGCGGTTGTGGAAGCGAATCCTTGTCAACCTATGTGTGAATTAGCAGCAAGGTTTGACATTACTATTCCAACAATATTGGACCATTTGAAACAAATGGGCAAGGTAAAGAAGCTGGATAGATGGATAACTCATGAATTAAACAAGAAGAGAAATCATCTTGAAATTTGCCTTTCTTTGTTGTTACAACATAAAGGTAAACCATTTCTATACCGTATTGTTACGTGTGATGAAAATGGATTCTTTTTAACAATTGCCAAGTATTTGGCATAATGATTGGATAAGAATAAAGTGCTGAAACACAGCCCAAAACTGAATATTCACTAAAAAAAGCTAATGGTGTCTGTTTGGTGTTCCAGTACTGGTATTATCCACTACAGCTTCATGAAAGCTGGTCCATTGATTACAGCTGATGTCTACTGCAACCAATTGGATGAAATGATGAGGATGCTTGCAATTAATCAGCTGAGATTGGTCAACAGAGACAGGCCAATCCTCTTGCAAGACAATGCTTGAGCACATGTCACACAAACAATGCTACTCAAACTACAGAAGCTGGACTTGGAAACTCTATCATCCACCATATTCACCAGACCTTGCACCAACTGATTACCACTTCTTCAAGGCTTTGGACCACTTCTTGCAAGGAATAATATTCAATTCTCGACAAGCTATGAAAAACACCTTTTGCAATTTCCTTGCCACTACTCTCCAGGCTTCTTTGCTGCTGGCATAAACAAGCTACTGTTAAGATGGCAAAATTGTGTTGATAGTTTAGGCGCATACTTTGATTAATTGTACTGCTTCTTGTTTGAGATATAATAAACTAAACTTTTGATTCAAAATTGGAAATTTCATATTTAATGACCTAATATTTATAATTCTAAATGAAGGACAATAAGTTCTATGTCTCTTATTTCTTTTACAACATCATGGATCTATCATATTACATTTTCTCAGATGGCTCATGGTAAGAACAAGTACTTTGTTCATGGGCGTGGTTTGATAGACTAATGAGGTCATTTTAGTACGTTCATTCGACTGCCAATTTTTAAATAAGCATTTAACTCTCAAATTTGTATGTGTAAATATTATCTGCACTCTTAGAATACATTTTTGTTTCGGGATTTTTTTTTTGAAATATTTCAGTTTTTTTTCCTTCTTTTTCTCTCTTTATTTTTTGTTTTCTATTTTTGTATATGTCTGCATATTACAGGGATACAAATGTTTAGGTTACATATATTGCCTTTGCCCCACCTGAGTCAGAGCTTCAAGTGGGTCTATCCCCCAGATGGTGTGTACTCATTTTTTTTTGTTTTGCCTACATTATTAACATTAAAATCAATCAAAGTTTTGATATTATAAAAACAAATACAGTGAATATTCGTGATGCTCTTAAAGATTTTGTATGATGCAAATTTTTAAAACAAAATTCCACTGATATAGACTTAACTGCATAACTAATAAAAATTCAAATTGAGAAAAATTGGATGAGTGAAAACTTTCAGGAAGTATTAAAATCCTTTCAGCTCAAAGGACTAAAGCAATTTATACCTAATCTAGTCATGTAAATACACTGTCCCAATTATTTTTACAAATATATGACATTCATTTACTAGATTCATTCAGTAAGTATTTCAAGGAAAATACTCACATTTACTTGCGATTAAGGCTTACTTCATTTCAGTCTTTTAAGGTTAATTTAGGATTGTCCCCTTTAATGTAAACATCATCAATAATATAGATATTTAAGGGTGTACCCTTAAATATTTAAGATATTCACACCCATTAGGTATGAATATACCCATCCTCTCCTCCCCTCTTCCGCCTGCATAACACCCGATGAATATTATTCTATATGTGCATTTAAGTGTCAATCGGTT